GAGACCCTGACTTAAAACACCAAAAATAATGATTGTTCAACCACTGAACTACAGCTTTGCATTGTTGCTGTTTTCAGTCAGGGTCTCACTCTTTTGCCCTGGCTGGTCTGGAACTTGCTATGTAGACAAGGCTGACCTCAAAATCAGAGACCCTGCTGCCTCTGTTTTCCCAGGGTCTGGCTTAAAGCTGTGCACCACCATGTCCAGCTTCTAATTTTATTTTAACCAGGGTGGGTATTTCAGCGGTATGTCAGCGTACCGTGTGTGTGCCCGGCACACGAAAAATGCAGAAGAGGGAAAAGGATCCCCTGGAACTGGAGTTGCAGACAGTTGTAAGCTGCTATGGGGAACTGGGAGTAAAATTAAAGCCCTCTGGAGAAGCAGCAGATACTCTTAACTAATGAGCCATCTCTCCAGCACCAGCCCCTCCCCTCCCAGTCTTTTAATTCCCATTACCCAGCAAGTTGGCTGGCACATAGAAAGGATCCTATATATAGTTTTTGAATGACTGAAATAATTTTATCTGTAACTTTCTGTTATCAGATCATTTATTTATTTATTTATTCCTTTACATATTTATTTTATGAAACAAGTTCTCCAATACCCTGGTTGCCCTTGACTTCTCTACAGAAACAAGGATGACTTAAACTTCTGAATCCAGAGTCCATTCCCAAATCTCCCTGGAACTCCTGATTCTCCTGCCTCTACCTCCCAGGTGCTGGAATTATAGGCTTGCCCCATTGCTACCAGGCTTTTGAGCAATGGGGCTTGAGCCCAGGGTTACATGCATGCTACAAAAACTACAGAAACAACTGAACAATAAACCTCTCCCTGATCAGTTTGCTTCTTAAGAAAGAGAGCCATAATAAACTGACTTGCAGAGCTAGCTGTTCTTTGCTGACTCAGACTTTAAGGCTCAATCCTTTCTGCCTACATTTTCATTTGGCTATTTCTGTCATATGTCTTGTCCCTTGTCTCAGACCTGTCCTGGTATATTCCACCTTGCATTGGCCAGTTCAAGGGACTGTTTACAATAACATTCTTGATTCTGTGAACCAATGATGTAACAAAATATACAGTATCAAATTTTGTCGGTAGAGTTTGTTTGTAAGAACCAGGGCCTTGTTGTGAATGACAGGCAAATGCCCTACCACTGAGCTATAGTCCTTGGCCCTTGTTAGTAGAATGTAATAAATGAGAGTATAGGTATTTCTTGATAGAAAAAGAACTCTTTTCTGTTGGTATACCATTTAAAAAAAAAAAACCCTCTTTTATTTGCATTTCTTCTTTTTCTCCCTACTCTACTAAATCGCTAGTGGGAGAGGGGCCATAATTCTTTCTTAGTTGCTGCCTGCTGGTTAGGGTCATTGGGTTCCTTGGAGCCAGTCCAGTCCTCTTTTCAGGAGATCTCCAACTTCTTGTCTCACAACAGCAACTAGGAGCAGCAAGTGGGGAGCAGGAGCAGCCTTGTTCTTTCTGTTCCTCCTCTCTGGGTTCTGGCATTTATTCTCTCCAGAGTCCTCAGATTTAAACTATCTGCAGCTGGCAAAGAGTTCCTCTCAGAGCCGGCAGGAAGCAAATAGTCTTCGGCTGTGGACCATCTGAATCAGTCCCACATCCCACACCTGGGACCCAAACAAAAACATGTTTATATCCACAACACTTCTTTCACAAGCTTTTGCTTTACTTTCTAGAACTCACTTTTTACAAAAAATCCCCTTTGAAAAGAAAAGCAGGGGCTAGAGAGATGGCTGGGTGGGTTCAATTCCCGGCACCCACAAGGCAGCTCACAGACTCTGTAACTCCAATTTCTGGGCATCTGACACTCTCTTCTGGCCCCAATGGGTACTGCATGTGTACGATGTATTTACATACACGATAGGGAAAAAACCCGCATACACATAAAATAAAAATAATGTTTTTAAAAAGTGTCTAAAGGGAAGCAAAGGAATTTGACGAATTTTTATTATTTATTTATTGTGTGGGGGTCAGTGGGTCTGTTACAGCTCACAGGTGGAAAGTCAGGGGATTTGAGGCATGGCTCCTTGCCTTCCACCCTGTGGGTGTGAGAATGAGAGTCCGGCCCTCAGGCTTGGCAGCAAGCTCCCTTACCTGCCAAGCCAACACAAGGATGTGTTGTTTTCTAAGATGTCATCTTGTTCTCTTGCCTTTCAAATATTTTAGGAAGCAATCTTGGGTTTGCCACCCCCCACCCCACCCCTGCCTTGTTGTATTCTTGTGCTTTGAGCTCTTGAGTTCTTTAGATAAAGGATCATCCGCTATGAATGGGGAGGGCAATTTTATTTTTAGTTTGTTTCAATAATTTTTGTCTACATTTATTTATTTAAGGTGTGACTGTCAGAGTGCATGTGGAGGTCAGAGGACAACCTTAAGGAGTTGGTTCTCTCTTTCCATCACATGAGTTCCTGTGATCTAACTCAGGCCATCCCACTGGCCCCTTCCCTCAGTACTTTTAAGCCCTCTCTTCTTTTGAGGTAGCAACAGTCACAGGATGGTTCTCAGAGGGCAGAATCATGAGATAAGAAATCAGACAGTCTCACAGGCTGGAAATATGAAAAAGACAATAAAAGGCCGACATCGGATCTGAGGTGTGACTCACTTCCGCAGAGGTGTAAGGTGATAAAAGGAGGATATGTTATTGGTAATAACTCCATTGAGGGGTTGAGGCGTCAGGAAGAAAATTAAAGTCTCTGACGATGCCTGTGCTGAGTCAAGGTTGTGGAGACTGGGCAAGAGAAAAAGCATGATCAAACAGACCTGATAAAAAGCATGATCACAAGGAAATGGCGTTTCAGGGAGATTTTAAAGAAACAAATTTTTACCCATTAAAGGTGAGAAAATATTTAGAGTTCTCAACATTGTAACATAAAAAGCTAAGATACTGGCTCTCAAGGTCATATGTGCTATTATTTAGCCAATCAAAGCTTGTCTCACTTTGTATACTAAATTTTTTATTTGCTGCTTTCCTTAAACTTGAGGACATATAGAATCATTCCTAAGATTTTAGATTACACAGGGAGTAGTGGTACACACCTTTAGTTCCTGCACTCTGGAGGCAAAGGCATGCAAATCTCTTTGAGTTAGAGGCCAGCCTGATCAACATAGCAAGTTCCAGGATAGGCAGGGCTCTACAGTGAGACCCTGTCTCATCAAACAAAAACAAACAAACAAACAAAAAAATTAAATAAAAAAAAAAAACCAACAGATTCTAGATTACTATTTGAGTACTGAAAATGTTTTCCTTTCTTTTTTCTTCTCTTTCCTATCTATCTACAAGCATAGAGTGTGCACGCTACAGTTGAACTAAACCCTTAACTCTTGATTGTGTTTTTAAAGATACATAATTTAATCTGTATTGCTTTTTGAAATGTCTCTTCTATGAATGTGTTTTGTAATATCAAAAGATCTAGAGCTAAATAAAATCCCAGCACAGCACAGCCAACTTATAAACTTCTCCGTACTATGCAAACATTCAAATCCTACAGCCAGACTAACAAGTACTAGATCCATAAGCTATTCTGGTATTTAGGAGATTTTTAAGTTTGTAATGAAAGCAGAATAGAAAGTCAACAGCTCTTGATATTCTTGCTGCCCTATGCCAGTGACCACTGATGCTAATGTGGGGACATTTCCTGCTAGCTATTCATTGATTTTTTTTTTAAGTCATATTTTCCAGAGAGTGGGCAGGAGATAAGATGTCAAGAAGTAATAAGGAGTGAAATGAAGGAGCAGAATACAAAGGAACCCAAAAGAGAAAACATTACAGTGATGGTATTTTTTTTCTCTTGTGTATGCAGATGGACAGGAAAATTATAGCAGTAATTGCAGTCTCCGTTTCACCAGAGACGTATGGCCTTGGGGAATCAGGAGATGGGAGAAAAAGCCAATGAAAATGCATTCTCATCGGGAGCATTCACCCTTTCTGTGCCTTAGTTTCCTTAAAGGTTGAAAAAGATCGTTTACTTATTTCAGTTACTGGGAAGATGAATGAGATAATGCTTCAAAAGCACCCAAAACTGGTCAGGAAAAAAAAAAAAAGTGCTGTGAGAATGCCAAGTTGTACTATTATTATTGAACTGTGTCTCCTGTTGGGATGAGTCATTTGCTGCAAAGCCGTAGAAACAATTCCAAGTGTGATGAAGGATCAGGGGCAGTAAGACGCAAACATAATGCTCTTTTCTGGTGCCAAGGGAGGTCTCACTAGCAGTGAACCCTTCCTTTGTTCAAAGAACAAGGGGAGGGGGTATCAAAGCATTAAAAAAAAAAAATACTACACAGCAACGTATTCATGCGAACGGACTCTTGAAAACCTACAGGCAATTTGAATCCAGGCTTTGCCATTTTCTACCATAACCCCGGGAACAATCACCTTTATTCCTTCGCATTTCTTCCCCACCCCTTTTGTTAAATGCGGACGATGACAGTATTAATAGGACTGTCGGGATTTAAGTGTCCATCATCCTGAGGACTCCGTAAAGTAAGTTGCCCTTGTAATAAATAAGAGAGATAGGAAGACCAGATATTCACGTTGATAATCAAGTGCATCCTTTTAAGAAAGGAAGAGGAAAAGGCAAGTTTTTATTTTCCAAACTATTTTATGACTCAGAAGCCTAGGGAGAAAAACGACAATAACAACAACAAAAGACCTGAATCAGCCCCATTTCAGTGGTCGGCGCTCATTCGCGGACCCTCCTTTATTTGGCTCGCCGCACACCAGAAAAGCCCTCCTTAGAAGCAGCTTTCCATTTCAGAGCCAGGCGTCTCTGCGAGAAGCCCCGGGCTTAGGCAGGAGCTGTTACAAAACCCCCCGGGTTCGGAGCCGAGCCCTCGGGGGGCCGGCGGGACCCGACCCCGGAACCTTCGCGCGGCGAGGGCGGGGCGCGGGGGAGGGCTTTGGCGGGGGCGCGGCGCCGCTCAGCCCAGCCTCCGAGCGCAGCGCGGGCCGGCGGGCGGCCGCGGAGGATGCCGAGGGGCGGCGACGCGGGCCGGACTCAGCCGGGGCGGCGGGGAGGGCGCCGCCCGAGGGGGTAGGGCGGCCGCGGGGGCGCGCTCGGGCCGGGCCGCGCGCCCTGCGCTGGGTTCGCTCGCTCGCTCGCGCCCTCCTTCCTCGGCAGCGGCGGCGGCAGTACAGGCGGCGGCGGCGGCCGGGGAGCAGACATGGCGGCCGACCTGAACCTGGAGTGGATCTGCTCGCTGCCGCGCTCCTGGACGTACGGGATCACCCGGGGCGGCCGCGTCTTCTTCATCAAGTGAGCGGGCGGGGGAGGCGCCGCGGGGCGGCTCGGGGGCGGCGGGAGCGAGCGGGCCGGGGCCCCCGTGGGTCGCACCTCACGCCGCTCAGCGCCTTTCCCTTCTCTTCCCTGCAGCGAGGAGGCCAAGAGCACCACCTGGCTGCACCCGGTCACCGGCGAGGCCGTGGTCACCGGGCACCGGCGGCAGAGTACAGGTAGGGCGGGCCGGCGCTGCGGCTCCGGGCCACCTGGCGGGGTTGGAGGTGCTCCGGGCTCCGCGCGACCGAATCCGGGGCGCCTTTCTTCTCCGGCTTTTCATCAGCACTTGGAGACGGCGCCCTCTTCCTGCGCCCGGGTCCCCATCCCTGCCCCGACGCCCCCCGAGGATGGCCGACGCCCCTCTCTCCCGGATCGCCCCCGTCTCAGTCCCCAGCACGCTTTAGGGAGTCCTCACCCGCTCCCACTTCTTGCTCCGAGTACCCAGCACCCTCTCGGGAAGATGGTCCCACATCCTCGCCCCTCTCCCCTGAGAACTGCCTCCTGCCAAGCAGCTTCCTCCTCCTCCACCCTCTACTTCTAGGTGGGACTGTGGGTAGGTGACTGGTGGAGGAGTTTAGGGGGTGCTGCATCCCCGTTTCCACCCCCACTCTCTGCCCCCGTGATACAAACGCCGGTGTGTCCCCTCCTGCTACCCGAGGAGCAGCCGGAGTCAGGACACTGGAGCGGGCGCTGTAGCCCGTGATCCCGGCTCGAAAAGTGCCCCGCAGCCGCAGCCAGGCTCCACGTACCACCAGGAGGCGGTGGGCGAGCCAGGGCGGTCCCTCGTGGGGGCAGTTGGGCCCCAGTTCCTCGGGGAAATGCATCTGGGTTTGCTCTGATACCTCTCTTGAATGCCAAGCGTGAGTTGAGCTTGCGGTGTTTTCAGTGCTGGTCTGGCTTTCTTTTGTCATTCTCTGTTTACATTCACCCAGTTTGTTTGCCTGAAACGTAATGTGTGTTCTCACACTAGCCCGCCTCAATTCCGGGTGACTGCAAAGGCTTGGGAGCAGTTGGGTCGAAGGTGAGGCTGTTTCAGCCGCCCTCCTAGGTACTTTTCTCTCCAACTCCGAGATTCTGAGAATCTCCTATTAAAGTTGCCAGAAGGGTGAACAAGCCTGCTTTTTCTGTTAAACGCTGGAGTTCGACGAAGTGACTAATAATGTGTCCAAATTTGCAAAAACGTGGAGGACGGAAGGGAACGCTGCTGTAGCAAGCGAGATGAGGTTACATTTTTAGGGCATTTCTGACTAATAAACTGTCATGTTTCCTAACTCCTGCGCTGTCCTTAGGTTCAGCCTGTTTCCTATACATATTGCAACTTTGATAGCCTCATTGCTTTTGTGGATATGGACGCGTTTACTTCATGGAAAATAATATGGGATTAAAGTAATTTAACCCAAATGTTTTATGGCATTTCATGCTTATTTTGATTATGTATAACACGAATGTCTTCGAATTACCCTCACAAATTGAATGTTCTAATGTGATTTCACATTTATCTATTTATTCTGGTTTGATTTACTTTGCTTGGGCTCCAGTTTTGTCCACACATCGATGACTTTTCATCTTTGAGATGGGTTGTGATTAAACACAACCCACTCGTCATCACAGCTACCACATGATATATACAGTCGCTCATCTGCATGATTGCTTGAAACTTCACATCTCGTAAGGTCAGGTGTATTGAAACACGTGTGTAAGCATTCAGTCAGTTTTCCACTCGTTAACTGCTTAAGTTCTTTTCCTACTAGTTGAAAACCTAGATAGATTTTCATTGAAAAGTATGGTTTTGGATAGACAATATACTGAAAAAAGCAAAGTACTGTGTGTGTGTGTGTGTGTGTGTGTGTGTGTGTGTGTGTGTGTGAGGGAGGGAGGGAGGTGTTGCCAAACAGTGATTTTACCTGGGTTTAGAAGACTTTGCCTTTTGGGGGTGCTAGAGCATAGTCCATTTCCTCCCTGGTTATTAAAGGGAATAATCCCATCGGGTCATCTCTAATATTGCTGGGACGTTCCTGGTCTTTAAATTTGAGTTGTCCTCTTCTTCCAAATACTGTTATATTGACTAATGATTTTGCCAGCCCAGACTTTGGGTTGACACTTACTTCAATGAATATAGCTAATTATGAAGACAGATAAGATGGGGGTAAGCTTGTTTTGCAATCCCACTGAAGTAATACTAACTGCAATATATATATATATATAATTTTTTTTCCTTAGATTTGCCCACTGGCTGGGAAGAAGCATATACGTTTGAAGGTGCAAGATACTATATAAAGTGAGTGAATTTTGATTTCTTCCCCTGGTAATTCAAATCTTGTGATGAACCTGAAGTTGGATACTTGTGATTCTAGACACAGTCATATCTTAAAGTTTATTATATAGTGTTAATTGTATCTTTTATATGGTTATGAAATTTTGAGGGAGGTAGTAGCCCTCTTCATTATCTGGTTGTTTGCCTGGGGATTCATAGATTCACAGATTGCAAATTAGGTAAATTTTGGCCACATTAGGCTGTTTGATGGTTCAATCCTATTTTTGTGATGGAATGTTGTACAGGGTTCTGATTTTGGCTGTGTGGTACTTAAAATTTAGGTTCTTGATTATCTGTGTAAGAACATACACTCACACACATCATTCTTTCGTTTGAGTTGAGTCCTACTTAGATATATTTTGGCCTGAGCTGTTAATAAGTAGCAAAAGTGATGGGAAGCTGAGCTGTGACAAAGGAAAAGTGAAACAGCAGTTAACTCGGGACACTGCACAAACTGTGAGGAGGTAGTATTTTTAATTCTGGCTTGGTTTAATTTAAAAATGTCCAAGACATTGTGTCTTACTAATACTTGTTTGGGTAAAAGGCTTTGAAGAGAGCTTGGGAGAGACGGCTGACTAACCAGTGCAAACCAGTTCTATGGGCTCCAGAGCTGGTTTCCATTCATATTAAAGGTGGCACTCCACACAAGTGCAAAGCTAGAGATGAACATAATGCAGGGAAGATTTCATTCTCCCAGGGGAAAGTAAGGTGGTTTGTCTTTACGTTTATAGCTATTTGCTAAAAGAGTTTGTTCTTACATAACATTTTTGGTTAATTTTAAGAAACTGAATCTTGAAAGAAAATACTTTGCTGGGTTTTGTTGTTTGTTTCTTTAGTTGGATTTTTTTCCAGACCTGGTTTCTCTGTGTAATAGCCTTGGCTGTCCTGGACTCACTTTTTGGACCAGGCTGGCCTGGAACTCACAGAGATCCGCCTGCCTCTGCCTCTAGTGCAGGTCTGAAAGAGAATACTTAAACCACAAGATTTGGTAACAATGTTAATAGTTTATTATGGGTAACAGATTCCTAGTTAAAGGTACTTTGGGCCCAGCCAGTTATTTTTACCAAGCAGCTTTTTTTTTTAAAGATCATGCCATATTTTCATTAAATTATAATTACTTGAATGGCTTTTTAAGTTTCTGTAGAAGGATGCTTTATGTAAAATGTCAAGGTATATTTATAGGTGCAGTTACTTCTGAATGCAACAACAGGAAAAGCTGAAGTGAGATACAGGAATTGAATATATTCACAAGTTTGATCCTTCTGGATTATTTATTCATTTTGACTAAGTTTTGTGTTTGAAAATTGAGCCTAAAGCCAAAACAAAACAAAAAACAAAGGTTTCAGTAAAAGGAGACCATCAGGTATTTTCTTAGCAGTTGTTTTCATTCTGAATTTAATAAGCTTGTGTTGCCACACAAAGAATGTTTTCTTCTTAGATGTAGTACTGATGTTGTAAATAAAGACAGGGTGTTTTGTTTGTTCACTTTGTTTTAGTGAGACAGTCTCACTGTGTTCCTCTGGTTGAGCTGGAGTTGGTAGAGACCTACTTGCCTCTGCCTCCCAAGTGCCAGCATTAAAGGTTTGTGCCATCCATCATACCTGGCATAAAAACAGACTCTTATTTTTTTTTTCCATTTATTCAACACACACACTTTAGATTACTGTACATTAAGCCTGGCTGATCGGAAAATAGACCTTAACGTCAATAATATTTTAATTTTGGTGAATAAGTATGCCCATGGATGATTGAGATTTTTAATAGTAACATCAAAATGTAATATCGGTTCAATGTGTATGTTTTAATTAGAACTGAGCTCTTAGCCCTTACCTTGTTTTACTAGCTAGCCATTCTAATGACATTTTCTTTCATTTAAAATTAGAATTTTATTTGAGCACCAAGCCTAAGTTGTCATCTTAGGAAAATCAGGACAATATTAGAAAGCTAAAGTCATCCTAAAACTAGTGGGCTTTAATCATGTGATATTAAGAAGTAGCTAATAATTGCTTCTTAAAGTAGCAATCATTTGTATAGTGAGAACAGTTCACTCAAAACTGGGCACATCTTAGAAATCTATCACATACTGAACTTCTTCAAGGATGCTAGCCATTTACAAATAGATGCTGTGCTGAATGTAGGTGTATGGATTCACTTTTCTAGCTGTGTCAGAAGACCCGAATCCTTCATTTTTAGCTACATCACTAAGATCAGCTGTAATTTCTAGAAACTTTTCGCATACTAAATCAGCCCATATTAGGGATGCTTTCTCATTCTGATGGTGAAGACCAAAATTTATTTTAATGCTGGAAGTAATCAGAATTGTGGTTTCTTTTGTCCCCACACGTAAGCAAGCAACAGGGACATGCCTCTGTCACCTTCTGCAGACAACAGTTGAGGATCTTCTAAAGGAAGAATAGTCTCAAGGAAGAGAGTGATCAGTGTTCATGGATACCTTTTCATTTCTTGTTCTTAAAGAGGGTTATTGATCAGATCAGAAGAAAGGAGGGGACAGAAGAATGAGCTGGTAGGCTTGGCTGACATGAGAGACTGGAGAGAAGATAGACACCAGTCTTCTTACTCCTAGTCTCCTGTTGTGGGAAGTAGCCATCGTCATTGGGGGCCTGCAGCGCTTGAGTGCTCAGAGCAGATGTGTGGAGCTCCAAACGCCTTCCGTCTCTAAGGACTGCATTGCAGCCTATTCACAGTCACGGGTCTTGGGAAGAACTTGCTCTTCAGATGATACTCTGATATTGACAGTTGGAGTGGGCAAGTTATAGAAACTACAAGTATTAGTTTGACCCTTTAAAAAACTTTGAAAGTCAGTCTTCCAAACTTTAAATTAGACTAGCTAGAGAAAACAACTTCTAAATTCCACCTAGTGGATACATTTCTTTGAATTTTATCTGTGCTGTTCTGGGAATTTGCAGTGTTCTAGAAAATAATGAAAACTGACATTGCCAGGAAGAGGTGCTGTGGGAGACATGGGAGAGCTGCGTGGCAGTCTGCTTCCTCTGGCCATCTTACGCTCTGTGGAGAACTAAAGAAGTGTGGAGTGTGCAGGGCCAGGGTGTGCTGGCTTTCTGTTGCTGGGGCTGTGCTCACATTTACCCCTAACGTGTGTAAAAATATCTTCCCTGCACAGTTTCAAGGAGGAATAGTGTCATGCCAGTGAAGGACCCGAGCAGCGTGAGAGTTGTACACATTCAAAACAGGGTCACCTGTTTACTTTGTATACTTTAAATATTGGTTCTTTAACACAAGTTTACAGTTAGGTTTAAAAAAAAAGTTCTTCATATAGAGAATATTTTATATTCATGTGTTCAGAAATACTAATTTATAAAAATCTTTATCTTCTAGATAAGTATTTAGTTATATGCTTTGACTTTTTTAATGGAAAAACTGATTTTCAGTGTACACTAACCTAGCATTTTAATTATGTATGTATGTGTCTGTCTGTGTATTTAAATACAGACTTTGAATATTACTTTTCCATATTGCTTTCTAAAACATGGAGGAAGAGGATCCAAGCATTCCTGAGGAGTCTTAACAAGCTATGGGCAGATGGCAATAGTAGAGAACTCCCCCTTTCAGTGGACTAGGGGAAGGGGATGAGAGGTAGAGAGAGGGAGGGAGGGTCTGGGAGAATTGAGGGAGGGGGCTTCAATCAGGATATATAATGAATAAACTGTGGAGAAAAAAATTAAAAATTAAGAAAAACTTAATTCATGCGATTTATCTTAAAGGAAAGGGCTAAAAATTATTATAAATGAATTTGTAACTTAAAATATAGCTTTAAATATTCTATATTTTACCCAGAATCAAACATAAGCCCACAAAGCACAGAAGATAATCATATATACTGGAATGTTATTAAGCTTCTTGCTTAAGCCTTTAAAATATTGCTTAATGACTCTTTAATGACAGGTCACTGTAGCTTAAAATGGATGTGTCAATGACTGTTCTTTTGTGCCTCAAAGCTTTATGATCGTTAACCTAAAGTGCAAAGCAAATCCTACAGCAGTGCCCTGTGACTGAAAAATTTCTGGTTACTTACAGGTCATCTGGCAGGAATGAGATCAGACTATACTTACTTGCACACTGTGTGGCTTATGCAGATTCTGTGGGGTAGCTCCTCTTCCTCCTCCTCCTTTTCCTCCTCCTTTTTCTTCAAAACAAGGTTTCTCTGTATAGCCTAAACTGTCCTGGATTCACTTTGTAGACCAGGCTGGCCTTGAACTCACAGAAATCTGCCTGCCTCTGCCTCCCCAAGTGCTCAGATTACAGACATGTGCCACCACATCCAGCTGGGATTGCTTTTCATCCTGCCTTTTTTTTTTTTCTTAAATATAAATTTTGAAATTTTAAGGTATGCAAATAGAACAATATATGATTTCCGTATCTTCAATAGGAACGAAAATGTGCTGAGAATTCCCAAATACCTGCAGTGATGTAGTTTCTGATAGAAACAGTCATTTAAACTTGATAGGAATGAGAAGAAAATAGTAAGACAGGGAACAATACATATCCATCATAAGAACATTTGATATATTGACTGTATTTGATATTTGAAGTTGTTTTATAGTTAGGTACCCTAGTGATTATCACCAGTTTTGAAACAAATTTTTTGAAACAGAGTCTCAAACTATAGTTGTGGATAGCCTGGAACTCTCACTGTGTAGCGAAGGATGTCCTGTAACTCGAGATGATGCTCCTGCCTCAGCCCTCTGTGCTGGGATTACAAGAGTAGTTATGTTTGTCACTAGAGCAGTTTGGACTGTAAGGTATAGCTCCTTTCATACATCAAGCACTTTTAAGCACGTTAGGTACAGCCTATTAACCCTGATGGAGTTTGTAAAATACTGAACATATGCCATGTGTTAAAATAGCAAAATATGTAGGAAAACTTTAGTATGTTTTTTACCTTTTTAAAACATACTTATACTTTAACATGTATAATAAGTTTT